TATCTTTTATTCAGTGTATGTCTTTTACACCTTTGCCAAATATTTGGTGGTCATAGCTGTGTATGTTTATTTCTAGGCCCTATATTCTGTTTTATTGGTCTAAATGGCTTTTGTTTGTTCTTGTACTTAATACCTTGTCACTGTGGCTCTGTGGTATAACTTGAGATCACATGTTTTGATAACGTCACCTTATTTCTTATTTATATTTATTATTTGTTCCTATTTATTGTTCCTGTTTCTACACAGGGTTGTTTCAGCTTTCCATACTCTTTTGTATTTTCATGCAAATTTTAGGATTTTTTTTTTCCTGGTTCTATGAGGAATGTCATTGAAATTCTGATGGCAATTGCACTGAGTCTGCAGATAAATTGACTTTAGTCATGAAGTCGTTTCACACTGTTAAGTCTGCCAATCCAGGAGAAAGGAAGATCTTTCCTTAATCTGGTGTCTTTTTCAATTTATTTTAAGTGTCTTCAGTATTTGCTGTACAGAGTTCCCACTTCCTCGGCTAGGTTTATCCTTAGGAACTTTTTAATTTTCGAAGGTATCACAAATGAGTTGCTTTTCCTCATTACTTTGTCAACAAGCTTACTGTTGACACGTAGAAAGGCTACTGAGTTTTGTATGCGATGCACCCTGCCGCTTTACTGAACATGCGTTCTCATCTACATCTTTCTGGTAGTGTCCATAGGTCGCTTAAGTTTATAATCATATATCTGCAAGTAGAGATGATTTTACTTCTTCCTTGCACTATTTTTCTCCCTTTGTGCCTTTCTCTCGTCCAGCTGCTCTAGCTAAGACTTCAAGCACCATAGTAAACAAAGGTGAAGCCTGGACACCCTTGTCTTGTGATTTTCTAGGAGATGCTCTTGATTTAGTAAAATGTTAGCTTCAGTTTGTCATAAGTAGACTTTATTATTTGACGTATATTCTTTCTACTCCTAATTTCCTCAGGACTTCTGTCATGAGAATATATTAAACTTTGTCAAATGCTTTTCCTGACTCTACCAAGAAACTATATGATTTATTTAGTTAAGGTTACTTCTGTGGCATATTATACTTAATAATTTGTGTGCATTGAAACAGCTACACACCTGTGGTTGAAACCAGCTAGGCCGTGGTGAATGTCCTTCTTAATGTGTTCAGCTCTATAGCTTTCTTGTTATGACGTTTATCCAGTTTTGATATCAGGATAATATGGCTTCACAGGATGAGTTTGGTAATGCTCTTTACCTTTTTCTTTTGTGAAACAATTTCAGAATTGCCAGTGTTAGATTTTCCCCTACATTTTTTTTTAAACTTATAAATGAACCCATCTGGCCTTTTGGACTTTTATTTGTGTGGATACTTTGAAGTATGACTTCAATCTCATTGTCTGTTACAGATTTGCTTAAATTCTTTATATCACCTGGATTCACTTTTGTTAGGTCGTATGCATTTGAAATTTTTTTTCACTTCTTGGTTTCCAGCTTTTTGGAAGGTACATTTTCAAAGCATCCCCTAATGACCACTTGGATTTGGGAAGGGCTCTCCAGAGTACAGACTTGTTGTTATTATTTTTAAAGGTTTCTTTGTGAGTGTTTCGCCTGGATGTCTATGTGTGCACCATGGTAGACCATGTTTATCATAGCAGGAGCTGGCCGCAGCTGTCCAGCCACACCCACAGGCGGGCATCAGGGAGAAATGAACACATGCCGCCTCTCGGGCCCCTTTCTCTATTTATTCTGTCCAGGCTCCCAGCCAGGGACTGGTGTGGCACATGGTGAGGAAGTCTTCCCACCTCAGTTAATACAACCAGAATGTATTCCGAGAGGCATGCCCAGAGGCCCACCCCACAGGTGACTCTAGAGTCTGCCCAGTTGACAGTGACATTATCACAGAGATAAAAGCAAATCAATAGTAATATATGTTTCAAATATGTTTTCAAAGTGCTCCTACTATAAAGTAATTATTAGCAGTTAGATGACATTTTAGAAAAACCAAACAAAAGAAGCAATCAACAGCTTCCTGTGTAAATTTCAGGGCCCGCCCCAATGTTCAAAGGGCCCCTCTCTTAGATATGTTTCTTTAAATCAAGGGCAGAATCTCTCTCAACTCCCTAAATTCATTTTCTGGCATAGAATACAGGATATAGTAGGTGCTCATTAATGTTTGTTGATTGAAGGAATGAATAACAAAATGTAAATTATTCTTGGTGCAAAAATGAGCTCCAAATTATCCCTGTGAATCTTACTTATTTACCAATCTAATCATTTGTTGGAAGTCTTTCCTGTTTGCTTGGCTGATTAATTGATTGATTGATTGCTTACCCGCCCACCAATCTGCTGTTGTTTGGTTTTTTTACTCTTTACCCTTTGGGTTCCCACCCCCAACCCCCCAGCTCCCAAATAAACACACACATGGAGTCTTATTCTTTCTAATGGATGGCTGGCCTTAGCTTGGCTTGTTTCTTGCCAGTTTTTCTTAACTTAAACCTTTTGCCTCTGGGTTTTTATCTTTTTCTAGTCTACGTACCTTTCTTTACTTCTTACTCTGTGACTTGCTGTGTAGCTGGTTGGCTGGCCCCTGCCCTCCTCCTTGTCCTGCTCCTCAATCTTTTCTTCCCAGATTTCTCCTCCTATTTATTCTCTCTCCTACCAGCCCCACTTATCCTTTCTCCTGCCTTGCTATTGGCCATTCAGCTCTTTATTTACAACAATTGGGTGTTTTAGACATGCAAAGTAACACAGCTTCACAGAGTTAAAAAAAATGCAACATAAAAGAATGCAATACATCTGCATCATTAAACAAATACTCCAAAGCATAAACAAATGTAACACATCTTAAGTTAATAGTTCACAACACTAATGCCCCCCCTTCTTCCTTTTCAGGGTCTTAAGTGCTTGAGGATGACCTGGAACTTACTGTGTAGCTCAGGCTGATCTTGAACTTGGATCTTCCTGTCTCAGCCCCCTGCCCCATCCTCATGCTGTGACTTACAGTTATGCACCGTCATGGCCAGTTTGTAAGTATACTCTTAACCAATCCAAAGCCTGTCTGCTTTGATCCAAGAACTGCAACCAGTATTTGTTTATCCTGAGATGAAAGTAACTCTGGAACTATAACAAGTCGCCTAAAACACTGCTGCCTTTGCTAATTCTCTGGCTCAGACACATCCAAAGCTGTGTCACTAGTCACAGAACCCTCTCTTTAATGACCCTTCCCCTCAGGGGAGGGGGGCTAGGCTCCCCAGTCCTTTATCTCGCTGCTGAAGGACTTCCTGCCCCAGGATGTAAACTGGTCACGACACCACCCACTGTATACTGTGTGCTACTGCCACCTGGTGGTCACACTTTTTCTTCCTCGCTCTGCCTGCTGACCTCACTGCAATACCTCCTCCATTCCCGCAAGAGAAGCAGTCCAGCTGTTTACATGGCTTTCTCAAGCCTTCGTACCACCCCAACAGTCTCCTTTTGTCCTATTATAAAATACACACCAATGTGGTCACTCATCAAAAAAAATTCTTAGGCCAGAAATCTAGGAGAATACTTAGAAGTCATTTCATTAGACCCTCCCCTATATAGGCGAGAAAACATGGGTTCAGACTTCCGTCAAATTTTGTTTCTACAAGTCCCAGATGCTTTGGGGGCTTCAAAGCCTGAGCTACACCTCTGCCGTTCACAGGCACTCACAGGGTGAACACACACACACACACACACACACACACACACACACACACACGTGCGTACGGGCCCTCACACAAATTATTCAGGAAAACTTGTCAAATGGAGTATTGTACAGTAGAAGTATGTGATGCATGATTAATAAAAACTCAGATATAGATAATGGGGTTCAACCTGAAGACCAGGAAAGCAAAACAGCCAGCCACTGGCTCTTACCTCGACCTCAGTCTGAAATAGTGATCCTGCCTCCGGGAATCTCAGAATGAGGCTGTGTCTGAGAGCTGTTTCCTCATGTTTTATAATCCTCTCTAGGGCTGGGATTAAAAGGCGTACACCAATGGGATGAAAGGCATGCACCGCCCTGTTTCTATGGTAACTAGTGTGACTACTGGGATTAAAGGTGTGTGTTACCACTGCCTGGTCTGTAAGGCTGACCAGTGGGGCTGTTCTACTCTCTGATCTTCAGGTAAGCTTTAATTTATTAAAATACAAATGAAATGGCACTAAAAGTATGTATTGATAATCATGAATTTTTATAATTTCATCCATATAAAATTATGTACAAAAATGGCATAGACATATTCCTAATGTTTTGAGATCAATTATAAAATGTGTGTTGCATTTACATGAGAAATAAAAGGAAAATGAAATATTAAATAGTCATATATGCATCTGAGTGTTAGCTAATAATGGTGAAATTTGTTTGACTCATCTGTAATTTGTAAACCTCCTCTAATTAAAAAAAAACGCTACTTGCTTAACACAGAACGTCATTATTTAGGAAGTAAATTATGGGGGCTGAAGAGATAACCTGTAACACAAATAATTAAAACCCAGAAACAGATATTGGGGTTCAATCTGAAGATCAGAAAAGCAAAGCAGTCAACCAATAAGTAGACCTTCTACTGCTACCAAAAGGGCAAGATTCTGTCTCCACGAATCCTCAGACTCCACACTCCACTGAGTTCCTGTCTTCCCCTTTGTAGTCCTCTATCCGCCCAGCCATACTGTTCCTGTCTCCGCCTCCCTAGTGCTGGGATTAAAAATGTGTGACTCCCAAGTACTGGGATTAAAGCTGTGAACCACCACCACCTGGTCTGCTTCTGGATCAATCCTGTGTAGCCCAGGGTAGCCGTGAACTCAGAGAGATACATCTGCCTCTGTCTCCTGAGTCCTGGGATTAAAGGAGTGTGCCACCACTCCCTGGCCTGTATGACTGACTAGTATGGCTGATTTTCCCTCTGATCTTCAGGCAAGCTTTATTTATTAAAGCATAAATAATATACCACTATAATGATCTAGTGTCTAAAAGCCTGTAATGCTCAGGCAGTGGACCTGATTTCACTTCCCAGCACCCTGGGAAGGAGGCTCACAGCCACCTGTAACTCTAGCTCCAGGAGAGCCAGTGCCCTCATCTAGCCTCTGTAGGTACCTGCCCACATGTGCATGTACCCACACATACACACTCAACTAAAGAAATAACTTTAATAAAAAGAAGTAAATCATCATAGCAAGTTATAGGATAAGATGAACCACATTATCCAAGAGGACTCTCTAAGAGGATCAAAATGTTCTGAATCTGCATTGTCCAATACAATAAGGACTGACCATGTGGGACTACTGAGCATGAAATACAGAATGCTCCCGAAGAACTGGCTACTTTATTTAACTTATCTAGTAGGTAGTATGTAGTTTGTATCTCTGCATGTGGTATCTCAGCTAGTAGCCACCGTGAGAGGGCAGGGTTGGATACTTCTGTTTGAGAAGTTCTGTCATTATGAAGGTGAACGCCTGCTTTGGGAGACTGACTTTTCTCCTAATTATTCTTCACTGTAGCTTATGATAAGCATGCGATATAAACCACCTACTCACTGTAGTTTCTTTAGGAAATAATTACTGTCACCATGACTCACAGTGGAAGCTAGTGAGCTAGAGAGAGGACTCCACTGGCTTCTTGCTGCTTCCGTCCTCTGGGAAAATAGGCTGAAGATTTACCAAGTCAATGAAAACAAGGTCACGGTGGTGAGGTAATGCGTGTATAAATAGAGTTCCAAGTCAGAAGGGAACTCAGAACTGCATCTGAGATAATTAAAATAATCTTCTTATTATTTCCTCTTCGCTTGCTTTGAACACACAGTCAATATCTTACCCCAGCAGAAGCAGACACTGAACCACATTCCCTTGTCTCTGTGTCACAGGAAGGAGGCTTTTGATCTTTTCAGTGGGAAGAAAAATAAAAGTGTGTGCGTGTGCGTAGATGCGCGCGCATATGTGTGTGTGTGTGTGTGTGTGTGTGTGTGTGTGTGTGTGTGTGTGTGTGCGTAGAAATTTGCTCTGTAGGTAAGGTGAGAGGAAAAGCCAATATGGAAAATAAAAATGAAATCCTCATTCACATCCCTATAGATCTCAAACTAAGAAGAGAGCATAAGGAGAAAGAAACATTCAGGGTCGCCCTTGGAGAGTGGCAGGGCTTCTCTTCCCAAACGCTCGTTACCCAGTGCTCAGCTTTCCCTTCAGTACTAACCAGGTTCAACCCCGCTTAGTTTATGACACCAGACAAGACTGGGCATGCTCAGGGTGGCATGGCCACAGACACTCTAACATGGGTAAATGCCATGTGTTGAGATTAGCCACCCCAGTTCAGTGGCATCTCTCATTTCTAAATGATGAGTGAAAATTTAACTTCCAACCTCCAAATGAGTTAACCATCTGCAGTGATGTGTTACGTCATGGGTCTCAGCAGGGAATTAAGGCTTGCATACTTAAATTTTGATGTAGATCATTAATCAGAAATATTTGGTTCAATTGCTCTTCTTTACGTCCTGTATCACCCCTTCTCCACTTCCTCTATGAATCTACAAGTTGGAGAAAAGATCTCTATTCTTATGAATAGTTTACAAATAAAATTGCTCAGTAGTTTGATTGTGTTCTTTTGAGCGAGGGATCCTTCACTTGCTGTTACCATTGGAGGTCTTGTTAATTGAAGAAACAAAAACCATTACATTACATTACAGGTCTTGTTAATTGAAGAAACAAAAAACCATTACAACAAAAACCATTACATTACAAACCAAAAGAACTATCTGACTTTTAATTTAAAATTGTACTTACTTGGAAATATTCAGAATGCTAGCAAAACAGTTTCAGTCTTTTATTACAATCACAGAATAGCATTTAGTTAACAGAACAATAATTATTTTCATATAAACTGCATCAGATGAAAATAGTTAACAAAATGATATATGAAATCAGATGCAAAATAATCTTCGGTCCCCATATATAGCCAACTAATTAGTGCATTGAACCAAATTTGTACTTTCAACAACTCCAGAAACCTACCAGTCAAGATTAGTGGCTATTGAAAAATACCACCAGGGTTCCCTGAAAACACTCCAGCTGAGCAGGTCGGAGAAACAGATAATCTACCTGAAGACCTTCTCTACTCTCTCCTCCCCTCCAGAGATGAAACAGAAACCATGAAACAAACACCTACCCAACAAAGACAAAACCAGATATGAGGACCTACAACTATGAACTTCCCAATTCCAGATGCTTGGATGCCAGCATCAATGCACGGTAAGTAAGAACCAGGACAGTTGTCTCCACTAGAGCCCAACTATCCTACCACAGCAGGCCCTGACTATTCCATCATAGCTGAAGCACGAGAAAAGATGTTAAAGCTCCCTGTGTAAAGATGATAGAGGTCCTTAAAGAGGAAATGAATCAATCCCTTCAATCTAGGAAAACACAAACAGTGGGAAGAAATCTATAAAACTGTCCAAGACTTGAACATGGAAATAGAATCAATAAAGAAAACCCAAACTGGGGGAATTCTAGACTTGAAAAATTTAGGAACTTGAATAGGAACTACAAAGGCAAGCTTCATCAACAGAATACAAAAACTGGAAGAAAGAATCTCAGGCATTGAAGATACAATAGGAGAAATGGATACATGGGTCAAAGAACATGTTTAATCTAAAACCTCCTAACACAAAACATCTAGGAAGTCTGACACATGATGTAAAGACAAAATCTAAGAACGATGGGAATAGAAGAAGGAGAAAAAAGCCAGATCAAAGTCCCAGAAAATACTTTCAGTGAAATCATAGAAGAAAATTCTCCTAACCTAAAGAAGGAGAGGCCTATCCAGGTACAAGAAGCTTACAGAACACCAGACAGATTGGACCAGAAAGGAAAGTCCCCTTGGCACATAGTTATCAAAACACTAAACATAATAAAGAAAGAATGTCAAAAGCTGCAAGAGAGAAGGAGAAAGTCACATATAAAGACAGACCTATTAGAATTACACCTGACTTCTCAATGGAGACTCTGAAACCAAGAAGGGCCTAGACAGATGTGCTGTAGACTCTGAGAGACTACAGATGTCAGTTCAGACTACTATACCCAAAATAATTTCAATCACTGTAGATGGAGAAGATAAAACATTCATGATAAAAATCAAATTTAAGCAATATTTAGCTACAAATTCAGTCCTACAGAAGGTGCTAGGATGAAAACTCCAACCTACAGAACTCAATTACAATAATGAAAACACAAGGAATAAATAATCTCAGTCTAGCAAAATTAAATGGGTAACACACACACACACACACACACACACACACACACACACACACCATCACCACCACCACCAAGAACAAAAACAACAAAAATTACATGATCAACAATCGCTGGTCAATAATTTCTTTCAACATCAGTAGCCTTAGTTCCCTAATGAAAAAGAATGGATTCAAAAATAAAATCCATCCTTCTGCTGCATCCAAGAACATATTTTAACATCAAGAATAGATATCACCTCAAGATAAAAGGATGAAATAAGATATTGCAAGCAATGGGCCCAGGAAGCAAGCTGGTGCATTCATTTTAATATCTGAAAAACTAGGGGTCAAGCCAAAACTAATTAGGAGAGATAGGGAAGGAAACTACATACTCATCAAAGGAAAACTCCACCAAGATGGCATTTCAATTCTTAACATCTGTGCCCCAAATACAAATGCACTCAAATTTTTTAAAAAAACACAACTACAGCTTAAATCACATATTGACCCTCACACACTGATACCCCACATTCACCAACGGACAGGTCATCCTAACGAAAATAAAACAAAGAAATACTGTAGCTAACTGATAGTATAAATCAAATGGACCTAACAGATTTATAGAATATTTAATCCAAATACAAAAGAATATACCTTCTTCTCTGTACCTCAAGGAACTTTCTATGAAACTGACAATATACTCAGATATAAATCAACAGATATAAGAAAATTGAAATAACTCTGTGCATCCTATCGGATTAAACCTGAATGTCAACAACAATAGAAAGCTTAGAAACTTGTGGAAATTGAAAATTCATTACTGAATGAAAACCGGATCAAGGGAGAAATTAAAGACTTTCTACAGTTCAGCGAAAGGTGCATATATAACTTACCTAAACTTATGGGGCACAGTGAAGCCAGTTCTAGGAGTCAAGTTCATCTCACTAAGAGCTTGTGCAAAAGAACTGTAGAGTTCTCATATTAGCAGTTAACAACACACCTGAAAGCTATGACAAAAAGAAGAGATCGCATCCAGAAGGAGTAGATGGCAAGAAATTATCGAACTCAGAACAAAATCAATAAAATAAAATCAAAGAAAGCAGTTCAAAGAATCAATGAAATAAAGGGTTAACTCTTTTAAAAATCAGTAAGATGAACAAATCCTTATCCAAATTAACTAAAAGACAAAGAATATTCAAATTGACAGAATCAGAACTGAAAGGGGCAACACAACAAACACCAAGAACATTCAGAAAAATCAAAGGACATGTTTTAAAAACCTATACTCTACCAAATTTAAAAAGATAAAAGAAATGGATAATTTCCTCAATAGGTACCAACTTACCAAATTAAATCAAGATCATATAAAGAAGTTAAACAGACCTATATCCCCCAGTGAAATAGAAGCAGCAATTAAAAGTCTCCCAACCAAAAAAAGCCCAGGGCCAGATGGTTTTAATAAAATTCTGTCGGGATTTCAAAAAAGAGTTAATGCCAATATGCCTCAATTATTCTACAAAATAGAAACAGAAGATACATTGCCCAATTCATTGCCGCAGTTACCCTGATAACCAAATCACACAGAGATTCAACAAAGAGAATTACAGACCAATCTCCCTCATGAACATAGATGCAAAAATAGTCAATAGAATACTTACAAACTGAATCCAAGAATATATCAAAAAGACCATCCACTATAATCAAGTAGACTTCACTCCAGAGATTCAGGGATGATTCCGGTATGAAAATTAATAAATGTTATCCACCATATAAACAAGCTAAAGATAAAAAGATCACATGATCATCTCATTTAATGCAAAAAAAGGCCTTTGACAAAATTCTTTAGCGATTAGGAATACAAGGTGCAGACCTCAACATAATCAAAGCAGTTTGCAGAAAGCTCAGGGTTAACATCAACTTAAATAGAGACAAACTCAAATCAATTCCACTAAAATCAGGAAAAATATAAGGCTGCCCACTCTCTCCATATGTATGTAATATAGTGCTTGAAGGTCTAGCTAGAGCAACAAGACAGCTGAAGGAGATAAAGGGGCCACAAACTGGGAAGGGAAAGGCCTAAATATCTTTATTTGCAGATGATATGATAATACACATAAGTGATCCTAAAAATCCCACTAAGAAACTCCAAGAACTGATAAACACTTTTGGCAAAGTAGTTGGATACAAAATTAGCTCACAAAAATCAATAGCTTCCCATACATAAATGATAAGTGGACTAAGAAAGAAATCAGAGAAACAACACCTTTCACAATAGCCTCAAATAATATAAAATATCTTGAGGTAGCTAGGAAAACAATTGAAAGACTGGCATGATAAAAACGTAAAGTCTTTGAAGAAAGAAATTGAAGAAGATCAGAAGATGGAAAGATTTCTCATGGTCATGGATTGGTAGGAACATAGTAAAAATGTCCAGCCTACCCAAAAGCAATCTGTAGATTCAATGCAATTCCCATCAAAATCCCGACACAATTCTTTACAGATTCTTAAATGCCAATTCTCCACTTCATATGTAAAACACACACAGAGACACAAAACAGGATACCTAGGACAATCCTAAACAAAGAACTGCTTTTCGCAATTTCAAGTTGTACTGCAAAGCTGTAGTAATAAAAACAGCATGGGTTTGGCATAAAAACTGAAACATTGATCAATGGAATTGAATTGAAACCTAGACATAAATCCACACACCTATGAATTCCTGACTTTTTTAAAATAAAGAAAGCCAGAAATACGCTGGATAAAAGATAACATCTTCAATAAATGTTGATGGCCAAGCTGGATAGCTGCATGTAGAAGAATTCAAATAGAGCCATATTTATCACTTTGCACAACACCCCACTCAAAATGGATCAAAGACCTCAACGTGATAACAGATACACTGAACCCTATAGAAGAGAAAGTGGGGAATAGCCTTGAATCCTTGCAATAGAAGACTTTCTGAACAGAACGTTGTTAACACAAGCACTAAGATCAACAATTAATAAACAGGATCTCATGAAACTGTAAACCCTTTCTGTAAGGCAAAGGATGCTGTCATTTGACAGAGCAAGAGCCTATAGAGTAGGGAAAGATTTTTACCAACTCCACATTGATAAAGCAATAATATCCAAAATATATAAAGATCCCAAGAAACTAGATATCAAAAAAACCAAATAACCCAATTAAAAAAGGGGCATAGGAGTTGGAGAGATGACTCAGTGATTAAGAGCACTGACTTCTCTTCCAGAGGTCCTAAGTTCAATTTCCAGCAACCATATGGTGGCTCATAACCACTGAAGTGGATCTCATGCATAAAGACATATATTAAGATAGAATTCATATACATAAAATGAATAAATAGATAAATAAATAAATAAGTAAAATGGGACTCGGATGTTCCCAGAATCTGAAGTCTAACCCCTTCTTTTCAATACTGCTTACCAACTGTTTTAAGTTCTCCAACTTGAGGTCTAAAACAACGACCTTTCCTATTTAGTTGGTCACCCATACTGAACCTTTCGTAGCTGTCTGGTTCCTACCCGCCGTGACAGAGCCTTCAAGGTCTGCACCTCCATAGGCTCTCTCCTTACCGCCCATCATCATCATCATTGTCAGAGAGCCACCTCGAGTCTGGATATGGTATCTGCTTGTCTCAACACCCTGGCAGAACCCCAAAAGTCAGCAGTAATGAAACTCTAGGATTCTTTCTCTGTCCTTCACCTCTCTGACCCTTGACCCTTGCCTATAAATATTTAGTCGGGGGCCTCATCCCAGGCTCTGGCACCCATCTTTGGAATACTGGGCAGGGAACTCCATTTCAAGGCAACCCCTGGGAGTTGCCTTAGTCCAAACTCCGCCTCCGAGAAAGCCCGCCAAACAGTGACCCCTCTCCAGGGAGGGTCAAGAAGGCCTGCCAAATGGTAACCCCTCCCCCAGGAAGGGTCAAGACCACTCCTACAGACTACTTAAATTGCTCCCCAGAGTGAACACGTGGTCTCTGGGTTTCAGGTGGTCTCCCCTCTCTCTTCCCCTCTCCATGTTTTCCCCGGCCATCCAGGAGCGCTGTATTCAACACGGACATCTTTTATTTGGTCTGATTTGGTTTGAATGGAATTATTTGCATTGGCGGAGAGGCTCTTTTAAGAACTCTTCCTAACAATCCACACCACTAACATGTTACTATTCTGCCTTGCCATTCTGCACAGTTCCCAGTGCCAGAAAAGATGGGACCAGTGTCTTCCTGTAGACCAACAAAAGCAATTCTTCTAAAAACTACTGTGTCTAACTGTGACTGCTGAGGTAGTTTTTACTCGGGAAACTGCATATGGAAGTCTGTGGTTCAAGATTAGTAGATAGCATGATTGTATGTGAGATTAAACTGAAGTGAAATGCCCATCCGGAGTGGGGACCATTGTTTTTAAAAGGGCAGATTAAGATCACCTCAAAACTGCTCTCCTTTCTCTGTGATCTAAGGAACATTAATTAGTATGACAGTTTAGTAATTAAATTTTTCAAGATTAATTAAATATGAAGCATAGTCTTCACAACCATTCCAAGACTGTGCTGCCTTCCTGGTGAAGTTGATGGGAGTGTGCTGCTCCCTGTGACTCTGTGGGTCTCCCTGAGAGTCCCTGTTCTGACAGAGCTGTTTAATTCTGTGTTATTAACCAACCAATGTCTAAGACCAGCCAGACCTTTGTGGAGATTATGTATTTATGCTCCAAGCTCTGGGTTTCTGAACTTACTCCTCCTGGGAACATGAGCTCTTCAACAATGAAAAAACTGATTAAAGTTTAATAAAACCTGCCACCTTAATGAGATGGGTGCCTAGAATAATTTCCCTTGCTATATTTTAGAAGTGATATAAACCTCACTTTCAAATGTTTATCTACAAAAGCTTTTCAGATCTACTCACACCGGGGACATATCATAGAAACTCTGGGACAAATGGCTTAGAAAATTTGGAGGCTCCAGGGTCTGTTGGTATTGTTGCTATCTGTTGCCAAAGAGAATCATCTAGAACTCCCAAAAGCCACATGTCATCTAAATGTTTTCTGAAAAAAGTTAAAAGAACAACTAGAGCTATTTTGATATCATTTCTATTAATTGTGTGTTCTTCATAAAATTTTAAGGCCATCATTTGGACATTTTAGTTGGTAAAATACTTATGTTTGAGATAAGCCACTATTTCAAAATGAAACAGAGAATGATGCTTTCTTACTATTTTTCTTAAGTGACTGCATGGAAGTGGTAGTTACTGAATTTATTGAAAATATCACCGTTATCCTTGAGAGACTGAGAATAAGGGAGACAAGGCGGCTTAAAAAGTGAGCCCTGGTGACTGGATAGGCAGGAGTTTTTGGAAAACCTTCTACAGCAGAACACTTGAACACCAGAGACATCACCACACACACACACACACACATGCATACACACACGCACGCATGCACACAACATGTGCATATGCACACATGCATGCACAGCATCATCATCATCATGTGTGCAGAAGCCCATGGAGACCAAAAGAGGGAGTCAAGTCCCCGGAGCTGTAGCTACGGATGGTTGTAATGTGGGAGCTGGAAACCAAACCTGGGTCCTCTGCGAGAACATCCAATTCCTTTGTATTTTGTATTTTTTATTGATTTTTCTTGTGCTCTACATTTTTCTCTGCTCCTCTCCCTGCCTCCCCTCCCCCCCATCCCTTTCAATCCTCTCCCAAGGTCCCCATGCTCCCAATTCACTCAGGAGATCTTGGTTTTTTTTACTACCCAAAGAGCATTCAATTCTGTTAACCACTGGACCATCTCTTCTGTCCTTAGATGAGGATATTTAAAAAAAAAAAAAAAAGTTTGATGTTCTTGAGAAGCCTTGCTTACATTTCTCCAGGGTCTCTGTGACCATCACAGAACTGCAGAGGGATGCTCTATCAGAGGCAAGAAGGCAGTTCCGTTTAACACGGCTCAGTAGCTGGTGCTGGCTCAAACTTCAAGAGTCTGACTCACCCTGGGTGGTTTATTTCAGGTGTATCCAAGCACAGCACAATTTGTTGAAAACCTTCCTGGTGAAAACTAACTTGAGCAATAAAGCTTAAACAAATCTCCTTAATGAACAAAATAAGTCTAATAAAGATCAGAGGTGACTACATCCAAACTTTGTAAAGTCCGTAATGACGGGTTCTGTAGACTGCCCGAGAAAAAACAAGTTTTCAGTAAAGTTCTCAGGGGAGGATCCAGTGTGGTCAATGGCCACGCAATCAGCAGTGTAGAATGCACATCTGCTCCCAGCCTTCTGGGCAGATAACAGGTATCATTCGGGTTCCTCCAGTACTTATCTGTGAGCGCAAAAACCTCCGTGCCCACTGCAACATTTTATGGCACAATCATTGCAAATGGAAAAACGGCGACAAAATGAGGGTTGTCGTCTGACAGCCGTCTGCCTTTATTCTCTACGGGCAGGAAATAAACCTATGTGACATGCTGCCCATTAAACCTTATATCAGCTCCTACCAAGTGACCTTTACAAAACAGCTCTTTGTCAAGAAGGATGGGTGTTGGCCACACATGAATTAAACCAATAGCTCCCCTGTGGGCTGCTTGCACTGTGACTGTACACGTCCAAACATCAGAGTTCGTTTCCTTTAGTAATAGAGAAAAAATACTGTTCACGTTGTTTAAATTTAAGTACTGAAATGTACTACCATGGCTCAAATTATACTATTACTCTTACCATCGTATCCGTGTCAGCCTAAAATATTCAGAATTCCATGACTTTGATCACACATCACATAATTTTTATTGAATAAAATGTTAAGAACAGTACTTCGGGAGCGATGCCTGTGGTAAGTAACTCATTTTAGTGATATAACACACACAGAATACACACACAGAATAAAATCAGCTTCACCTGTCCCCTGCAGATGCACACAAAAATACATCTCAACTATATCTGACTGTTCTCTAAGAAGGGAAGCATTGAGCCTGTAGAGTTAGAATGGAAGCCTTGAAAAAGTTAAAATGTTTGCAAGGTCATATTCTCACTAATATGTTCTCTCCATGCCCCCCTTACTCTAGGTAGAAGAATAAAGCAATACTGGTGACTCTCACTTGAGAATCTTTGACTATGAACCCCCCCCCTCCGCTTCACACACACACACTTGGATTTATGATTCTCAGAGTTGCTGCAGCATCCAGGAAGCCCCAAACATTTCAAGGGCACCAGGCTTTCCGTACTGTCTACAGGAATACGTTTCTCCGAGACTATCTGGGAGAAGCTACAGCTCCTTCAAGTCAGTTGGAGAGGGGCTTCCTCCACAAAGCAGAGTAAAAACGGTGAGGAATGAGCCATGTCTGCCTTTGAATGCAGTCCACGTTCCACGGCCTCCTGAGAAGTTTGAGCCTGTGAAGTATGTGCCGTTTCTGCATGGCTTATGAAGCCACTTCTTGAAAAGCCTTTGAAATACGCACAAACATTTCAACACCGGGATTGGATCCAGGGCCTCCTGAAGGCCAGGAAAGTGTCCTTCCACTGAATTCCAGAACCAGCTTCATTACTTTTATTTTGGAGATCCCACTAACTTGCCCCAGTAGGCTACCAACTTGCAAATCTCCCACCCCTACTGCCCAAGAAACTTAAAATAGAGATGTGAGCCACCATACACAGCTAACATTTACTTTTAAATGTCTTCAGAGTTGTATTATGTGGAGATTTTCTTTTTAAAGCAATTGAAAGCCTGCTGAACCTCATCAGTCCATTTAGTAAAGAAGCTGCCGTCATCCTGTGAAACTGCGAATGCTAGCCCAGCTTTCCTTAATTATACTACAAAATCTATAGGAACCTATCGATGAGCAGCTCCCAACTGGACAGGGAGTCTGACTCTGTAAAAAGCTGTCAACACACAGGAGGTCCTGTAAAAGTCAGTGTTTGAACGATTAATTATACTCCCAACTTTTATATCTGAAAATAATCACTAGTAATTACTTTTCTTCTTCCACATCCCTGGTATCAATTAGCGAATACCAGCTGCCTATTTGGCCTCTGTCCCCCTCCAGCCCACACACAATTACCAACACCCAGCTCTTTACCTACTTGTCTGCCTCTGGGCTCCAAGCTGATAGAGCCACCCTCTTATGATAGAGCCACCCTCTTGTGATGGAGCCACCCTCTTGTGATGGAGCCACCCTCTTGTGATGGAGCCGCCCTCTTGTGATAGAGCCACCCTCTTGTGATAGAGCCACCCTCATATCTTACAGCTGGTTCAGCTGTCGCTAGAAAAAAAAAAAAACCACACACTGATAGCTGATATACTGCAATGGAAGCTTGGTATCTGATTGTATTTGTGCTTGAGACTAAAATGATTCCTTTTTCTTGTTCCGATAATATACCGGTTGGTTCTCGCTTATCCCTAGTATTCCCACCATGGCGGAGCACAGCTGGGGTGTGAACAGGCGGTATCGGAGTGAGCAACGTGCAATCCTTCTAAGCCTCAAGCAACTTTTGAACCCAGTTCATCCTGACATTGCAGGCACTGGGGCGCAGCCTGTCTTTTTAAAATCAAGACGCCCCGTCTGCTTCTTTGGTTATAACTAGTAAGACTTCCAGGAAACTATCCAGCCAAGAAGCGGTTTCTACACAAGCAGTACCTGCCCGTTTTCCTGCTTGGAATTCTTGAGTGCCGTGGTGAGGCCATTAAAAGCATTTGAGCGTAGAAGAAACAATCAGATCTGCGTCTGAGGAAGACTACATCGCCAGATATGATAACGGCTGGGAAGACTCTTAAGGGGTATTTTACAAGCCCTGCACAGGACTGAAGTGAAGCAACTTACCACAAGAGGGCAACAGAGAGCTACTGCCTCATAGGCGTTCTTTGTCCCCTGTTGGGGGAGGGCACAGGACGGGGGAGGGGAGTGGGGGGGTGAGGGTTGTGGTGGGAGTTCCCGTGCTCATCAAAAGAGGTGGGTCTATGGTAAAACTGTATTAGACTTTCTTTTCCAAGCTCTTGAATTACATACGAGCCTCTCAAAGTTCTGATAAGACTCGCAGGGAAGGCGCAGACTTCAGTCTCTGGAAACAACTTAACTGTGCCTTCTTTCGCCCTGTGAAAGGCTTTTCAGAATGACCCGAGTCTTCTGTGGGAGTTTGCGTGTTCATTTATTTTTGTGGCACCAGAGATGGAACATGGAGCCTCACACTTGCAGGTAACTGGTCCACCGTCGAGCCACATCTAGCCCACCATGGGGTACTCTTTAAGATGTTAAAGTGAACACGGTAGGCTTTGAGCCAAACTTGAGAAAACAGTTCCTACCTTTGAGAAAAACCTGCTTAAGACATTATAATATGTAAATGAGCAGGGTCTAATGATCAAGGAAATAAAAAATAATGAAGACGTGGGATGTGCAGATGGGTGAGGTGGGGCGCTCAAAAGATCCTTTCTCTAGAACGCAAAGTATAAAATAGCAGAAAGGTCACAATAACTGAAGGGGGCTCCCACACCTTGGGGGCTCCCATCCAGACCCCAGATTAGGCATAAACCACATCCTAACACCCATTTTCACAGAGACTCTTTATCACAGAGACTCTTTATTAAGCAGGGAGGAAAAGTTAAAGTGACTGCTTTCTGACTCAGGCAGAAAAACAGCAGCAAATGACCTTGCAGGGTTTTTGTGGGTTTTGTTTTTTCGTTTTTTTGTTTTTTTGTTTTTTGTTTGTTTTTTTGAGACAGGGTTTCTCTGTAGCTTTAGTTGGAGCCTGTCCTGGAACTAGCTCCTGTAGACCAGGCTGGCCTCGAACTCAGAGATCCGCCTGCCTCTGCCGGCGGTGGTGGCACATGCCTTTAATCCCAGCAGGGGTCATTCTTAAGAGAAAAAGAAGAGGTCTGTGTTAGAATGGTCTAGGGTGCATAAAGGAGATAGGCAATGAGGGAGAAGGGGGAGGGAACAAGAGAAAGGGGACAGGGCTATTTGTCCTGGAAGGACAAAGGACCACCTCTGAATAGAGGGGACAGATGTGCCACATAGGCGGACGGTGGTTTATAAAGGTGAAGGAGACAACCCCATGTTAGGATGAGGTGTTTAATTTCAATTGGGCATGCCAATTAGGTGATCCAAAGAGGGCTTTTGATCATGGAACCTTGTAATCAGCCTCGGGAAGAAGAAGTGGCAAATAAGGGCACAGATTTTGGTGGCTAGCTGTAGGAATGTAATCTAACGGATTTTAGCAAGGCAGAGGGAATAGAGGAGAAGGGCCAGGCCCACCAGAGCCACATGCTCGAGTGGGCAGGTGTCCTTCAATAACCATTTCAGAGAAAGTAATACTAATAAGAAAAACCCTGGAAATTTGGAATAACTTAGTTGATAAAAGCTGCTGGGAAGCCAGGGAGTCCGTGGTATCTCTGTCTAAGACTGTTTCTGTGCCGCCTGCCCTCTCCTCCGGCTCCATGCGGCTGTAGCAGAACCGAGAAAGCTGCCTTGGCAAAGCAGTGATAAAAGGGACTCACAGCATCAAACACCTGTATTCCGTATATTTTCCATACGCACTTCAAACCTGCGTTTCATGCGATTTCCTACCAGTAGCATTTATTTCTGCTTTAAAGAACTAGAAAGCATTAAGCGAGTCATAGCGGTTTGAGAAATGTCCCCATAGACTGAGGGTTTTACCGCTTGATCCCTAGTGGGTGGTGCCGTTTGTGGAGGTTGTGGACCCTTGAGGAGGTGGAGTTTGACAGGAGGAAGTATGTTACCGGGAGTGGGCCTTGAGATGTCATAGCATCACCCCAGTTCCAGGTTGCTCCCTCTGCTTTTGTGACGAGATGTGGTCAGCTACCTTCCTGTCCCAGCCGTATCTCCTCCACCATTAGGAACAGCTTCCCTGCAAGTGTAAGACAAAGTAAACGCTTCTATAAGTCGCTATGGTGTTTTGAAAGAAAATGACCCCCCACAGGCCCACAGAGAGAGGTAGTATTGGGAGGTGTGACCCTGTGGAGTAGGTGTAGCTTTGTTGTAGGAGGTATGTCACTGTGCTGGGGGGTAGGCTTTGGGTTCTCGGAAGCTCAAGCCAGTCACTTCCTGCTGCCTGCAGATCCAGATGTAGAACCCTCAGTTCCTCCTCTAGCACCAAGTTTGCCTGCATGCCACCTTGCTTCCTGCCATGATGACAATGGACTAAACCTCTGAACTGTAAGCCGACCCCAACTGAACGCTTTCCTTCGTAAGAGTTGCCGTGGTCATGGTGTCTCTTCACAGCAATGGAACTCTACCTAAGACAGTTGCTTTTGGCCTTGGTGGCTTAACACAGGAGCAGAAAGGTAGCTGATCCACAAATTAATGCCAAAGTGAACATGGTAGATGAATTGATACAAGGTTTATTCTAATAAACCAGGACGCAGTGTAGAGTAAGCCTCCGTGGCTGAGGAAGAGAGAGGCAACAATAAGCCGTCACATTTATGTTCAGTATATTTCCCATGATGAACCCATTACATTCAACAGTGAAAAGATTTTCTTCTCAGGAAATAATTCTGTGGAAATTGAATATCCACACGGAAAATGTATTGAACCTTGCCACACACCATTACTAAGTCCTAAAACTGAACCCCAGATCCAAATATATAAGCCAAAACTATAAAATTTCCAGAGTAAAATGTGAGAGAAAGTCTAAGGGCAGGGGCAGAGTTGTAGCTAGGCAGCCTGAGACGAGACTGTGTCTCTCCGGTCTGTTATGAGGTAACTGGAGTCTGATACGAGGTGGAGACGGGATGGCAAAGCCAGGTGGTGAAGCCCTCAGTGACAGCCGCAGGTTACAATCATGCCTTCTAGGACAGTCAAGGCAGAGTCTTCCGTGATAGCTTGAATGGGAAAAATCAGATATATGGTCCTACCTATGGAACAATTATGGTGGAATATTGCACCAAAGCCCAAAGCAAAAATCTGTTTTATATGCCTAGATAAACGCCAACGTAACAGTTGCTTTCTATGATGAACTTTAGTGAACAAATATTTGCCAAATGCCCATCTGGTGAGCAGGAGGCTTGCTGTCCCAGTCGATTCTCAGAAGGAAGATTATTAAGCGAGGCAGAGATTTCCAACTGTGCTGAGACTTCACAGATACAGAGATAGAAGGCATTAGCGCTAACATTTCTCCCGATTTCCCATTTTTCTCTGTTGGGGAGGTTTGAAAAGGTAAGTGCCTGGCGTGCGGTTGGCTGGTGTGGTAGGATGAATAACAGTGTCCCAGAACTACCCATGTTCTCTCCCTGGGACCTGTAGGGAATGGCAGTTTATCAGGGAGGAGCGTGTGTGTGTGTGTGTGTGTGTGTGTGTGTGCGCGCGCGCGCATAAAAGAAGGCCAAAAGTCAATGTTGCTGTTTTCTTCATTGCTCTCCACCCTACTTTTTGAGGCAGGAACCTGGTCAGCATTACAGAATCCAGGCAGGTCAGATGCCATGACATGAGACAGAAGGAGCGAACAGAAACAAATGGGAATATGGGGGTCCTTTTAAGAACATAAAAATGCAATGGATACAGAAGGTGGCATGGGATGAAATGGCACTGCTTGAGAAACACCACCCATCAAGCACCCTTCGCCTGCCACATAGGATCTCTGACCTCACATAGGATCTCTGGCCTCACATAGGATCTCTGGCCTCACATAGGATCTCTGACCTCACATAGGATCTCTGGCCTCACATAGGATCTCTGGCCTCACATAGGATCTCTGGCTTTCTAGAAGTTCAGAGTCTGAAGCAAAGCCTGACATGTATCTGAAGCTTAAAGACAGATTAGATCTGCCACTGCCCACTGGCCATGTTAGCTGCTGCACACTGAACGCACACACCAAAAGACAGATTAGATCTGCCATCTGCAATGGCCGAGCTTCTTCAGGCTGAACTTGGACATCAACTCTCTGCTTCTGAAGGAAGAAAGACTCTTCAGAGAAAAGGCAAAGCCCAAGTTACCAACATGGAAAGTTGTTTTCATGAGATCAGGAAGTTCCTTCCCAAGTCTACTCTTTCTTGAAAGCATAGCCCCAGAATCATCATCTAGAAAATAAGAAGGTTACAGCCCCCTGAAAGAGAGTCTCATACCAGCAAAATATGACTTTAGGGCTCAGAGAGAGCCTGACCTGTGTCTCTCCTCTCTTCTGAAAAAATGCTGTTATTCCCCACTCGCTTAGAGCAAGGTTTAGAGATTCGGCACAAATGTCCCCAAGAGAAGTCTCAAATGACACCAGGATTTGGTACTAGAATGGGTACTGAGAGGCAGGTAGAGATGAGAGAAAACGTAGAAAATTCCCAGTGTTTGATTACATTACAGCTGAGTGGAGTCTGAGGGTCTCCCACCCGCCCTGCTTCCATCCCTCTTTTCCCTGGGCTCATTCTGCCCCCTGCAGGCCATGACAGAGAAGTTCTCCTTGGTTCTGTCAGTTGTTTCTGCTTACTGTAAACCTGACCTCGCGTGTCTGACTCTGTATCTACAGTCTGTCTCTATTGGACCCATCATCCTGTGGTTCAAAAAATGTTCACTGCATTGTTCTGAAAGCATACAGGATTTGTTTTCTTGTCATTTTCTCCTTATCGATACAGTATGCAAACCATGTTTGGGGATTTTGTGTATGTAGATACAATAAGATATTTTAGTGATGGGACCCAATTTAAAAGTGAATTTATTAATACTTTATGAACAGCTTTATATACAATAAGGTGAGGTAGGCTTGTTAGATGATGTAAAGCAGGCGTAGAGAGAGGATGGGACGCAAGAGGGGTGCTTTGTCACCCACCTGCACAGATGGCCAAAACGCTTGCAGAAGATGGGATGCAGCCCCTTGTAGGGGTGGAAATGACTTCCGCAGTTTGCAAG